CACACCACTGTTAAAGCTAAAAATTATTTTTGCATTGAAAAAGATGCAGCTTTATTAACTTTCACTACGTACCTACTAAATATCGGTTCTGAAAATATTAATTAACTTCCAATTTTTCCCTAAAACTTCAACACCCCGAGTTTTTGTATGGAAACATTTGTGGACAATAGTTTATAAAGCAAATTAAGATTAATTTTTCATGTAGATTCACACCCTTGAATATTTGCATATCATTAAGGAACACCCTGTATAATTATAGGCAATCCAAATCTACGACCCTCTTGTGTCAGACTGTCTAAGTGTATGCGTATGATTGGTGTGGGGCATAAAACTACGTAGACTACTATAGTTAAGTAAATAATGCTTGCGAGCACGTCACACAAACACGTTCCAATATGAACTGGGAATCTCTTTGTGTTCGTCAGAAAAACCGACAGGACACATACTCATATAAATTCCGTCCCAATCATACGAACTAGCAGTTCGCAAGCGGCTCGGCTCGCATATGTATACGCGGCTTAAGACCTAGCCTAGAGCATTGCTCACATGTTTGGGGCTCTGCCGCCACGACTACATTATCCATGCTCGATGCTGCTCAGAGGAGGGCTGTCCGACTGATCGATGACTCTTCTTTAACGGACAGTCCCTGGACCCTTTCGCACCAACGGGCCGTCGGCGATCTAGCTCTCTCCTATCTACCGCTACGCCAAAGAGCTGCCAGACAGACCCGCCTGACGTCACCCTCCCATCCTAACCGTGTCGAAGTTCGTACATCTAGAACTGGCCGATGACACCGCCCCTTCGTTCCTAGGGTGTCGAGATTATGGAACAATCTACATAGAGAGGCTTTTCCCAGTTCTATAAGCCTTAGGCAGTTCAAAAATCGTATCAACAAAAGCTCTGCCTGCGCGGCTGCATCGCTGTAATAAGATTTGATAAAACTTGACACTGAACTCAAGAATACCCAGACTACTACAAAAATTGGTAGCCGGAACCTTTCTGAAAAGTAAGTGTATCACTTAGTATTGTTTAATTAGTACCTTTATTATTTAACTAAACATATCAAACGTATGTTAGACAAATTGCTGCATGAAACATAGTACTACAAAATTCACTGATGGTGGTTTGCACCGGTTCGGGTTAAAATGAGGATTAGAGCTAGCTTCAAGTTATTCTTTGCACCATCATATTCACCTCTGGGTTAAGGTCTAAATTTGTGATAAATTTACCTCTCCATAAACTAGGTGTTAAGGTCAGTGATGAAATATTTTGTTGATGAAACACAAGGTTTCCTTTGGTTGTCTTATGATTGTTTGTAACTGTTATGTTGTGCTAATACGCTTCTTTTGGTTCTGATTGTAGTCTCCAGGTTTTACAGAATTTGTTAGGGATTCGCAGTTGGATCGTTTACGCAAAGCTTGGAGAGTGCTAAGAGAATCTGTGCAAATAACGTATTTCTCAGGCGTTTGTCTTTTTATATACATATAATACAGTAATGATGTCATTCTGTTTCGTGCATTTGTGGTTCAACGTTTTGAGAGTCTTTTTGTACTCTTGACATTTTTACTACCATGTGGAAATCTTGTAAACCTCACTGTATGCTTATGCTGAGTATTATTCAGAAATATCGAAGCACTAGTGAGGACAACGAGACTGGAGCAGGGTGCCCGTAAGCATGATGCATCCACCGAACATGGTGCTATTTGCATTTTTCTTCATGACTTCATGGATCTATCTATCGTCTAGAAATACCCTTATCGCTCGTAAGTTTGTCTGCGTAATACAAAACTCCAACAGTTCAAGATGTATCAGGTCATCGAGTTCATAGTTCGTGGTTAGGTTCACCGTTTAAGTATAGGCTACAAAATTACAAAGGTGCTTTCTAGACAATTTTGTCAGACGCATCATGCATCTTGTCAATAAACACAGTCAAAAATGTTTTCGAAATCCGTTGTTCCAAATATGATACGACATTCAACTGATAATAGAAAAGAAAAAAAGTACAAGTACTAAATGTCAAAATTCAAGTTAAACTCTTAACCAACTTTTAACACAGAACTAGATTTTCTCGCTATATTTCCAATAAATGTATCGTAGAACTATCCCTAATTTCAAAGCTGTCAACGTGACAAAAAGTCTAGGTCTATAAGTCCGGAGTTAAGCCGTGACAATGCAATCTGGAGTTACACGTACATTCACAATATGCAGCATTGCATTAGTATGCTAAGATTATGCTAGCACAAAAATTATATAAAAATCCACAAAAGTGGGTAGAGCATTTATATAACACCTAGGCAAACAAAAGAAAAGTATGAAGTCATTTTTGCTCAAGCTACTTATTTCTTAGCGTATGATAACTGGCGTTTTTTCTTTTCTACTTTGAAGATTTTCCTCAGTTCTCTCTACTCGTCGTTATGGAAAACTTGTTTCACACCGAAGTAGCCGCACAGGCAGAAGCCTAAATGCCAGGTCACCGCGACTGCTATGAGGATCCCGCAGAAACTTTGTTAATCCCCCAAGTGGGAAAAGTCTCCTTCTGTGGATTGTTCCACAATATCGATATCCTAGTACCGATATGACTGCTATATCGGCCAGTTCTGGACATACGAAGTTCGATAAGGTTAGGATAATTCACAGATAATATTTGTAAAACTTCAAGCTGTATAAAACGCTCAATCTGACAAGGCAAACGCAAAACCGTCTTTGTTCGAAAAAATCCTGTTAAGCATGGGCCCAAATACTTCCCATGTCCGAGTTCAACAATGGAACAAACATATCCTATAATGTAAAACGGATTTTCCATTACCCACTAAAATGCGATAATGAACATTTGCAAAAGACTCGATGTTGCATATGCAGCGGATGACGAGACAATAGGCCTTCTGTGGCTGTTTTACGTAAGCGGCAAGCGCATCTACACAAAATTTTACTCCTACCTGTTTTCCTGTTTTTAGTTATACGTCGCTGTGTGTGACGTGAATGGATTGATGGTGTTTTCCTTCATGTTTTGTAGGATAAAGAGGCGAGTTGAAGAGGATGATGAGCGTATTGTGATCGACAATGCATGTACATAGAAATTTAAAGGCTCGTAGGTTCCTTCCAACTATATTTTTGAGATGTTATGAGCGCAACATCCAGGGGTAACATTTCTCCTGGTAGCAACGAAATCAAACGGTATGTGAACCGTGCTTAACTCTCCCTTCTCCCTGACATCTTTTGAATTGGCAAATTAGGCCTATCCAATCATAGTTCAGATAATCATAGAATGAGTAGTGAGAACACCCATTGCCCGAGCTTATCATTATGGTAAATACTGTATCTTGACGCGATCGTTATGATGTGCTACTTTCCTCCTCTTCAGTTTTCAATTGCTCGCAGGATCAAAAAATTGCAGCTTAACTTTGCCCTTTTGAGAAAATAGTTTGCTATGAAATCGTATGACAAAAAATTCGAATGGATCTAATCAGTAAAACAGGCCCATACAATTAGTCCATACTCCCCACTCATTTGATGTCGCCGCGATCTAGGACCTTCTCTCCCGCCCTGCTGATAGTACAGACCATCTGACAACGTTATTGAGGAGCGCCAGCCAGCCATGAGCCAGGTGTAAGCGGTCACACAGTATAACACCGAAATCTGACAGAAATGCAATTTCTATGGAATTAATACAATTTTCAGCATAACATGGTTCCTTTGGATCCCTGATTCTAAGTTTGGTGTTAGTTTGCCTTTATGCGAGCACATGAGTGTTACTTCAAAGGCATATCAAGAACATTTTCAAAAGATGCCTTCTTTGGAGCCACGTATATCTACACTCATTGTTTTAATTGTAGTTTGGGAAAATAGGTTATTATTATGGTTGGGCCCAAACGCGTGTCGTCAAAGTTTTTATGGTTACTAGGTTCGAATCAGAGGTCCATTAGTCACTATGAGAATATGTCAAGGTCATTCCAAGGTCACTTCAAGAACAAATTCACAATAAGTCTAATAGTCGAGTAGACACGCGTGTCACACATATGTTTGCGCGGTCGTTGAGTCCAAATCAGGGATAACTTAGTTCCTAGAAAGGCATTTAAATGGTATTTCAACGCTACTCAAAGCATAAATTCGGAAAAGTTGGATATCCGTTTCAGACTACTTCTCATCACATGACAGTATGACATTTCTGCAAAAGTTAGTCAAAATGGACAATGCACTCATCTAGCAATACTTTAAGGTTCACAATCACCGTTCATTCCAATTGGGACAAACAGCAGAACCTTATTAAAAATCTCTTCAAAAGTTATAGTATTATAAAGAGGTGAAACTAGAAATAGTAAACAGTTCAATTCAAAATGTGCATGAAAGCAACAATAATGACATATTTTTATTATATCAAATGAAACTTCCTACTCTCTTTATTATGATCCATAATCAGATGTTCAAATATTTCTGACACACAACACAACGACTGATCCATAAGCCCCACATTTTCACGTTAAAAAGCACCACAAACTTCAAGTTTAATAGTCTGCCATTGCAAATGTAGTGTAAACACAGATGGTTACGGTCTAAACTTATACGGGGCTTTGTTCGCACATATTGATTTCGACCGATACGCGACAAGTCTGTTGAAAATATGTCTCTATCTCGATCAAGTTAAGGACACAAAAATAGGTGCGCAGAATGTTCCCCCCCACGTCCTACAAATTCAAACTCCCATTTTGCTGAAAATTAGGAGCCTCTGAACCTTAAAAAAGAAATTTAAACAATCCTTTTCAGTTTTCTCCCCAAGCTCCGCCGGGACTGAATCGATTCTCTGAAATTACAAAGTCTTTCCGTAGCAGTCACTTTGTATCAAACTTTCATACTTTCCAATGTATACAGGGTTAGGGATTAGCGAACAGTGCCAGTGGTGTGAAAAGTAAAAAGCTTGGCAAATTTGCCGAAACGCCAAAAAAAAATTGGTCAAACTGAAATTTTCATACCAACATTAACCCTCCCCGCATCTGAGTACCGTGATGCTGACTGATTTAGATATTGACGAGTTCTCCAGTTCTGGTCGAAGTTTTATCTCATCAATTTTCGTATTGTTTTAGTCATCCCTTCCTCATCGCGTCAAAGTACTCGATTCCATTCCTAAGACGCTCCTAATAATATCACAGAAGGTTGCTGATGCGCAAAGAAATATATGGCAACATATTCTAAGCCGGATGTAAGCATTCCAAATCCAGATACATAAAGCGAGTCAACAAAAATAGAAGACGCCATGAGAGAGCATTGCTGCAGGATATAACAATGGTTTTAATTTGATAGTAACTGTGTGCCAAGTTTCTGTGTACTCTATCCTCGAGATGCGAGCATACAGTAAGCGACTTTGTTCTACCATTCTACTATAGGATTCTACGTACACAAGATGTTCTTCCACTTTGACGATACCTCCTTCTCTCTGCGATTTTCGTTTATTTGACTTTCTACGACCGAGATCCCGCTGCTGAAACAAGGACACGAGTTTTCGCTCAGATAGCTACAAGGTAACGTTTGTTTATTGGTTGATAGGAAGCTTATAATGAGGTAATTACTGTGGTAGATCGGATGATGATACATGATTTTATTATTCCTGATTTATTATATCTGAAACGGTATGCTAGTCGTAGCATCCTGATGAGCATAGTGATCGCACTAGGAACATTCACCATTTTTGCAAAAAGTTCACTAGCGACTCATTCCCCATTTTTATAACATTTTTTTACAAAGAAACCATCTCGGATGTCCGCCTTCGATTTTGATTAGCTTTCAATATGTTATTCTGAATCAAAATCTAAGTGACACACAATTTTTTATATCGGTGTTTAAACGATTTTAAGGGCTGAAATCAACCGCTGAAGACGACGTGTTCGCTTTTCGCCTCCGGTACGAGGGATATCCTTTAAGTTTTGTATATAGAAACATAGTAGGCCGCGCGGATCGAACGTCAGCACTGAATCTTAACCTCACTCTTTAGTAAACTTAAATTCAGAGTTTCACAACAATACGTGCAGTGTTCTCACTATAGTGAATTTTTAAGTGTCACCAAGTCATTAGAAAAATGGAAATGCCTTGCTGAGTTACTGTCTGTTTTTGGCAACGAAGCGCCACATCAGTCGACAATTTCCCGTTGGCATGGAGAATTTAAACGTGGACGGGTGAGTCTTAACGGCGATCCCAGGGTGGGTGCACCAAAAACGGCAGTCACCCAGGAAAACTTGGATGCTGTGCGCAAGCTCAGCTCGAAGACAGACATGTGACATATCGCAAGATTGAGGCGTCCTCGAAGATCTCAAAGACCTCAATTCAAAAAATGTTACATGAAGAATTAGGACTAAGAAAATTAGTTTCTCGTTGGATACTCCACCTGTTGACTGATGAGCAGAAAGCAGCCAGGGTTAATTGGTGTCAAAAAACGCTTGACCGTTTTAATTCCGGAAACTCAAAAAATATGTACAGCATTGCTAGTGGTGATGAATCGAGGATTTGCTGTTATGAACCAGAAAATAAACGACAGTCGGCTGTTTGGGTATTCCAAGGTGAAGAAAAGCCAACAAAAGTCATATCCGTTCTCGAAGTGTTTCGAAAAAGATGGTCTCAAAAGCAGGTCATATTGCAACAATTCCTCTTAACGAGCAATAACCATTTGTTTGCCAAAATTCATCACCGAGCTTCGAAAAAACAACCCCGAAAGAAGAATCATCCTCCACCAAGACAATGCAAGCTCGCACACAGCCCAAAACAACAGGCAGTATTTAACGGAAGAAAACGTGGAATTATTGGATCATCCTCCATATAGTTCCTATCTAAGTCCTAACGATTTCTTTACTTTCCCGAAAATTAAAAACAGACTGCGTGATCAAAGGTTCCAGTCAGCAGAAGAAGCAGTTGACGCATTCAAAAATGCCGTTTTGGATCTGCCGGCAAACGAGTGGAATAAGTGGTTCGAAAATTGTTTCGAGCACATGCAGATGTGTAATAATCTTCGTGGACAATACTTCGAAAAACAATAAAGTCATTTAAAACTACCTACCGTGTTGTTTTCTTTCCATATGCTAAACTTAAACGACATCCTTCGTAATCATGACCAACCACAGTCAGCTGCTCATTAACAACTTATCGGTGCGGCATAGGTCTTAGGTCTAGTCGTTAAGTCAGACGGAATGGAGAGCAAACAAGTGGATGTGAAAAACTCAAAATACTGAGCGCAAGTAAATGGAAATTTAACAATCGTCGCGCCATGCTGATTTTCATCATCATCCACTTAACGATGAAGACGATAGAGATGCTCTTACGCACTCCAGCTCGTATCGCTCGACGTCCTATGCTAAGCGTAGACATGCTACACCGCACCATCATGGTGAATGTGTCAAGTGGTCGGAATAGCAGGCATTCACAAAGCAAACCAGCAATTGCTTTCCCATGCATATACTGTGTGTTTCTAATTCGACACTCACCATTGAGATCTGGAAAACGGTAAGAGATACGAAGTCGCTTAAATGGAGCATTATTGCGTATTTAGGAAAATGCCACTTAGAAAGTTTCGAAATTCATAGTACTTCCGGAGAAAGTACTTCCAAATGTTCCCAAAATCGTTTTAATCTTTCCTTATCATTTATGTAGTGGTATTTTAAAATAAATTCCTCATTAACACTGCTACCTTTTCTCCTATACAAAATGACTTAATTAGAATTTCGATATGACGTTTCGTTTTGGTTTTTGCCCTTCACCATCAAACTTACTTTTTTCAATTTTCGTTCCAAGAATGTATAATATGTCATTCATTGACATTGTCAAGCCTTAGTTGTTGAGAATAAGGGCGTTTCCTAGGTAGGCCTCGGAATTATCAGATAGTCATTTCTTTCGTATATTAGATTTGTCGCCAAATCACTTTTATCTTTTCCTGACTTCTTTGAGGCGGAATTTCAAAATAAATTGCATCTCGTTATTGCAAATGTATGTCCTCTACAAGATGACGTAGTCAAATTTTCAATTCGAGGTTTTTCCTTTTTTCCATCACTAACTTTGTTTTTCCATATGGACCCTATACAGTAATTTTGTACATTTAAATGGATTGTTCAGTATTAAATTCAGTGATGCATTTCCTCAGTTAATAATGGGTTTGTCATTCTAATGTCGCCGTGCATGTTGCATGCACACGTGTTCCCTCGCCAGAGTCCATGTGGCGTTTCCCCTTTCTCCTGTACCCCCTATAGCCTTACGGTATCCCATGGGTGTTTAGGCCTTATGCCTTCGTGGTAGTCGGAATATAAAAAAATAATGAAAGTAATAAGGAAATGAAAAGGTATAGTCCATATATTAACAGGGAGCATATGAGAGTTTTGAGGACCTCAAATTGAACGTTGTAACACAATTTGGAAGGCCGAGAAGAAGGGAATTAAATCGAACAGTAAATAATGTACAGAATAACAAATATCGTTCTAAATATTTGCGTTGATCTACCTCTGCTTATTTATGATTATTGTTCAATAAAATTTTCATTTTGTGTTTAGGTTCCACCATACCTTTTTATTTCTCTATAATTTTTATTCCAACAACAAGTTCATAGCCCACTATGGATATACACATACATCGCTGAATTTATGACTGGAAAATCAATTTAAATGTTCACAATTCTAGTATAGTGTCCATATGAAAAAACAAAGTTGGTAATGGAAGTGGAAAGAAGAAACCTCGGATTGAAAATTTGACTACGCAATCTTGTAGATCATGAAAAGAGGCTACAAAGTGCAATTTATTTTAAAATCTCATCTCAAATAAAGTCAGGAAAAAATAAAAATTATTTTGGGATAAATAAGTTTCACAAACATATGAAAAGTGCATTTAGGATCATACTATTGGGAAAATGTGAAAGTTATAAGGGTTGAAAATAACAAATTTTGTATAACAAACAATCTATCGGTCCATGATTCCAATTTCGAACAATAGAAAAAAATAGAACATACGGGTTTTTGCGTTAGGGGTAGTCTGATCATATTAAGTTGTTCTAGGGGGTATTTAAAACATGGATGCATAAAATAGCTACACCAATTTTTGTGAGAAAACTGATTATTCGGCAACAAAGAATCACGAATTACTCACAAATACGAAATGTTTGAATTTGTTTAGAAAAAAACGCAACTCATCCTTTTTTGCATTTGATTCTGGGGAATTTGCTAATATGGTTAGACTAATACACGTGGTTTTAAATGAATTTTACGTTACATGAGTTCCTTTTCTCTCGTTCATGTTTACATATTCTCCTGTAATTATTAAACAATTTAGTTGATCAAGATATCATGAACTTTCCAAATCAGTATTCGAAAAAAAAAATTTCAAACCAAATTTCAAAATGGTCTGCAAAAATAAATATCGCTTTTCATTACTAAGAGCAAATGTTACATTACTGCTTTGAGAATTTATCCCTGTAGTTACTTTTTGCATCCCGACACTGATTCCATATACATATTGAGTGCCTTGAAAAGTTTTGGTCCAACAATTTGACCAAACTGGTCACTTGGGTCCTTCAAGACCAAAAATGTATATATAATAATAAAAATGTAAAAGTAGCCCATCGTTAGCAGATATGTTTGGTAGTATTGTATAACTATGAATTGTGGATGAAATTGCTTAACACCACCAGCTGATGATATTCTGAGTGCAATTCTAACAGAAAGCTACTCTGATCTGATTTGTATAAATTTTCCAACCCATACGGTTTAATATGTCTTGCTTCACCTGACTAAAAACTGTTGATTTACTCTCTTAAACTGTTATTATCTATCTATTTTTAAAGAAACATATTTATTTGTTTTTTAGACACAACACGGTGTGCTGATTATTATATTCTTATCCATTGTTCATTTGCTTTTTGGCTTGTAGTTTGTAGCATTTTCGTTAATCAGAGTCACGTACAACATCAATAACCCACTTAAGCTGTTAGAATCTGTAGGCACTAATTCGTTCTAATTTTTGTTGATGTTTCTCCTCGATACATTTGATTAGCCCTCCGTCACAGCTTTTAAAGCTACCATCTTTCGGTCCCAACTTTGGAGACTGATTGCTCCCCCGATATAAAAAATTGTGTCTATCAGAATTTGATGCAGAATAACGGATTAAGAGCGCACCAAAATTGGAAGCGGACACCTGAGAAGATTCCTTTGTTAGTTAAACCATTATAGATAAGCTAACGTCAAGTTAATTGTGAATCTTCTATAAAATTAAAATGACTCATAATCTTCCTTCTATCTGACTCCTACCCAGTCTTTAGATGTAGACCACATTTTTATTTGATTTTTGAACTCCTCGTGATTTAGCTCATTTGCGAGTATAGATTACACGATTAAGATGTTTTAGGAAGGAGTGCTGGAAACTGCGGGAAAAGCTGCGCCACCATTCCATGATCTCTAGGCACTATCGTGAAAGTAACATTGTACTGATCCACAAAACCATTACAATCTACTAAAAAGTAGTAGGTGATTTGTCTGCAGAAGTAGTTGGTTTCAGAAGAGATATTACCTTCAATGGTGTGCACTTATTAAATAGTAATATAGTAATAGTAATATTTATTTGTCACCAAAATACACAACCATTACACAGAATTTTATAGAGGACAAATAAATGAAGAGCCCGCAGAAGGGTGGCCCTTGTGCGCGGGTAAAGGAAAACAGAAAATACTTATATACTAACGATGACGTAACACAATAAAATCCTTTTTTTTTATTCTAATTAACAAATGAGTGATGCATATGGATTTAATTGAGATTCCATATATGTAAGTGAAGTATGGATTGTGCTCATAGAATATGGTATATCAGAGGAAGTACTAACCACTAAAGGATAACCTGTGCGTGGCCATTACATCCAACTGGACCAAAACTAAACTCAAGGATTTTGAAATACAACACTACAGATAATTTAAAATGGGCCGCTAAGGCTTAATGACTTAACTAAACTAGCGGCTGTTCTATCTATATCTATTTTTTCGGTCAAATCACAGACCGCTAAGGCTAAATAGATCTACACTAAGTATAATATATGAAGGCTTAAAAAGTACTGGTTAGGAAATGGAAAATTTAATCTGAGAATGACCTACAACTTACAATGTATAGCTCGTGCCTTCTATGTACATATGGATTTTAACTCTTGGGACCACGTGCAGCCAGGCTTTTATTTGTTTTTTAAATGAGTTTAAATTATTTAGTTTTTTGTAAGACACTGGGATGGTATTGAAAATTCTTGGACAGAGAAAAATCCAGGACCTTTGTATGAGTGTTTTCTCCGGCTTTGGGACTACATTCTGAGACAGCATTTTCTGACGGGTGCCATAGCAGTGTTCAATTTGCTTCAATGAGGACCGATTTTTGTACTGAAAAGTAATGAGATTGTACATATATAACTGTCTGACATCAAAAACATTAGCCTCAGCAAACAACTCGTTGGAAGGATATGTCTTTCTTTTTTTGTATATCAGTTTAAGTATGTATTTTTGTACGCATTCGAGATTTCTGAGGTGACTTGAGGCCACAGCTCCCCATCCAATGATACCATAGTTTAAATGAGACTGAACAAGTGCAAAATATAATGTTTTTAAAGATTTCTCAGTCAGTAATCCTATTAGATGTTTAAAGTTTGGTAACAGCATTCTAATTTTTTTCACGGTGTATTCTATATGCTTCGTCCATTTCAAGTTTTCATCGAGGATAATGCCTAGATATTTTATGTCACTGGTTCGTTTGATAGTGATTGTGTTATTGGAACTTAGATTAATGTTTAGAGTGTCGTACTCTGGCAAGTGATTTTTGTAGGAAGCAAAGGGGACAAAGCTGGTTTTTGCGATATTCACGGTCAAAAGTTTACTGTTATAAAATTCAAGAATAGTTTTAAGATCATCCTCAATGAGTATTTTTAGTTTTGCCCAGTTAGCACCTTCATATATAACTACCGTATCATCCGCATATCCCAAAATTGTTCCTTTGCTGTCCAATGAAAAAAGGTCATTTATGTAGATATTGAACAGTACCGGTCC